CTTTGCCGTGAGCGGGCGGGGGAGGGGAAAGGGAGCCTGAAACAATTACCTGAGAGATATTTCGGGAATGGAGAGGGAAGCAGCCAAGAGCCTACCTTGATATTTAATTCCGTCCTGTTTATGGAAGCTTCCCGGTCACACAGAATTCCTCGTTAGCTGCTTGACACCAGAATTCTGTTGGGGGGAGGGCAGCATATATCTGGTCCTACACAAAATGGAGCTGAACCCGCTACCAGCTCTTACTCAGGCAGTTTTAGTTTGATCTGGAGCCACGGCAGACCCGAGGGAATCACAGCAGGTCTGGTCAAGTCCAGGGAGAAGGAACCGATGTCTCTCCTTCCCTCCCTCCGAGAAAGAGTAATGGAGAAACACACGCGCAGGGGAATTCCGGGGAAGGTTTTTGCCACGTTTCCACGCAGCTCTTCTCCCGGCCCGTGCCCACCTCCAGTTCTTATTTCTGGCACCAGCGCACTAAGAACAGCCCGAACCAGGGTTTCTTCTCTACAACATTATATGGCGTGTCAAGAAATAACTTTGGTGGGCTGCGTGCTCGCTGTGGCAATGTAGGAAGCAAGACATGCTGAGGAGTGAGAGATGTTCTCTACCGCTGTGGAGGCAACCGTCAGTATGAAGGCAAAAGGCGTTAGTCTTGCAATAAGTGGAAGGCGATGATGGTGGAGAAGGAGTTGGTTTCGTGACATCCCAATGACTGAAATAGCGTGTCTGCATATAATTTACCATTTGTTTCTCGTTGCACAAGGGTCAGGCACGATACCGGTGTTGTTATTTAGTCGTTAAGTCCTGTCCGACTCTCCGTGACGGAATGGAACAGAGCCCTCCTGTCTTCCACTGCCACCCGGAGTTGGGTCAAATTCATGTTGGTCACTTTGATGACACTGTCCAACCATCTCGTCCTCTGTCATCCCCTTCTCCTCTTGCCTTCACACTTTCCCAACATCAGGGTCTTTTCCAGGGAGTCTTCTCTTCTCATGAGATGGCCAAAGTATTGGAGCCTCAGCTTAAGGAACTGACCTTCCAGTGAGCACTCAGGGTTGATTTCCTTTAGAATGGACAGGTTTGTTCTCCTTGCAGTGCAGGGGACTCTCAAGAGCCTCCTCCAGCACCACAATTCAAAAGCTTCGATTCTTTGGCGGTCAGCTTTCTCTGTGGTCCAGCTCTCACTTCCATACATCACTACAGGAAAAACCATAGCTTTGACTATGCATACTTTTGTCAGCAAGGTGATGTCTCTGCTTTTTAAGATGCTGTTGAGGTTTGTCATCATAATAGACTCTTCCAATTTCACTCTGTTGCTGCATACCTGCTGTTGCATACAACATAAAGCTTTGCGCCCGGACAGTCCCAGTAACACTTCACTTAATGAGTACATTATTTATGTTTTGTAATTTCAGGGGGAAGATCACCTTAGTAAAGTCAGACCCTGTAATAGAAATACAGTAGTGGACACTCTTCTTCCACCTCTGTTTACTCAAGGAGTAGATCACATGTTGCATTTTTGATGACTGGAGGTTGTCAGCTGCCAAGGAATGTTTGTGGAGAATCTCCCAGCACATTAAAATTGTAATTCCAAACCTGTTACCGTCAAAATCATTGGGAATTGTTTCTATGCTTACTTGGAGTGAATAGATCAAAAAGGCAAGAAGAAGGATGACAAGGGGATCACAGTGGAGGACACGAAGGACAATCTTTCAGACAGGGAGCTCATCAAGTCAGAGAGAGAGGTCCTACCCAAAGGCCTAAATTTTGCCATCACACCCAAACAGATTCTGGTTGTAGCCTTCATTACAGCCAGAGAATAGGCTAGCTGGATCAACGATTTACCAGTGGCAGAAGCTGAACAATTTTGGATAAAAGTTTCTGCAGAACTTTCCAGCGCTCAACCACCATTATCCAACCTCACCAGACAGGAAAGAAGGGGCAGGGGCAGAAAAGGACCACACCATAGACAGGGCAACCTGCCACCAATTATATCCTGGAGAGCCCCCCCCCACCTTTATGGATTTCCCAGAATACACAAGGAAGGATCCCCCAGACCCTTCAGCAGCAGCATAAACTCAGTAACATACAACATTGATAAATACCTGGCCACCATCTTAGCCCCATTGGTTGGATCAACCCATTCACCTCAGAGGAGTTTGCATCCATGGTCAGGGAACTTAACTTAAATACCGATGGAACCTATTGTATCCTTTGATGTCACATCCCTCTTCACCAGCATTCCCACCCCCAATGCCCTAACAACTGTAAAAAAGAGACTGGAAGAAAACAACACCCTCTCCACCAGAAGCAGCCTCAACCCAGACCAGATATTCCTGCTCTTGGACCTGTGTCTGAGCACCCTTTACTTTACCTGCAGAGGTAACTTTTACAGACAGAAACATGGCCGTGCCATGAGTTCCCCGGTGTTGCCAACTTGTACATGGAAGAAGTGGAAAAGAAGTCACTTAACACCTTCCAGGGGATGACTCCGACCCATTGGTTCAGGTATGTGGATGACACCTGGGTGAATATCAAGATTCAGGAAGTACAGGCCTTCACAGACCACATAAATGTTTCAGTCTAATAAGGAAGAAGTCCAGTCGCCATGACTCAGCTTCCAGAAAATCTCACCTGGATGACATAATCTTCACAGATACATCAACAAATGCTTCAGAATGAGGATGGTCAAATCTGCATTATTTCCCATTGTCCACACCAGAGGTCCCCAACCCCCAGTCCATGGCCCAGTGCCAGTCAGTGCCTGAGCAGGACCAGGCCACAGAGACAGACTTCCCCCCCCACCCCTGCACGCACTCCCCCCTGCACAGTCCCTTTGTGCATGCACGCACACACCTGTGCCCACATGAGCACTCCCCCACCCCTTTGTGCATGTGCACGAGGGCCCCCTGAGTGCCGCCCTGCCCTTCGTGCATGCCCGCCCGCATGAGTGCCAGGCCACCTTTTGAGCATGTGCACAAGTGTGCACACGTTTTCCCTGCTCCTTCGCACATGCTCACAAGTACGAGTGCACCAGTGTGAAACAGAGCACACTCCATGCATGCGCACAAGCGCAGGGGTGCCCCACCTTCCTCAACTGGACAGTGGGGTTAAAAAGGTTGGGGACTGCAGGTCTACACAATGTACAGGTATTCCCCATGTGGTGTAGTGGATAGAGTGATGACTAGGACTCTGGAAAACAAGGTTTGAATGCCCACTTAGCTATGGAAACTCAGTGGGGAGTGGAAATGGTAAAACCATTCCTTAAATATTTCACTTACTTGAAAGCCTTACTAGGGTCACTGTAAGTTGGCTCTAGCTTGACGGCACAGGAGACACACATACAACGTACAAGTCCATGTGAATCAGCCTGGAGTTTTCACTGACGTTTTACCAACAAACTGTTTAACGTGAATTAGGATTCTGTGGTGAGGTGCACAGCATAGTGGATACAAGGCAAAACTAGGACTCAAGAGGTCTGGTTTCAAAACCTCAGAAATCAGCTTGCTATAAATCTCAGCTTGATGACACATAACAGACCACACAGAGGCTCCATCTGTTGATCAGCTGAGTCTGCAACTGATTTACTAGGATGTAAGTGCCACTTCCTGCAACAGAACTTACTTCTAACTAAAAGTATGATTATACAGTGGGGGGAAAGTATTAATGGATCTGAGGTGAAATTCCATCTAGGAAGTCAGGTTTCATTGGGTAAATTCGTTTTGGTGACAGTCAGCAAAGAAGAAAGAAATTAGCAATCAGCCTTGTTTTCAGTTTAAGGTAGCTTTTCTGTAGCAGTCTAGATTTGCAGGAGCCATGGCTATGGTAGAGCTACTTTAACAAGCTGAAAAAGAAGTGCTAATTAAGTATTCTTTTGTCAATCTCTGCTGACTCCGCCTGGCTCTTTTTCTCCCCCTTTGGTTGCCTAGATGCCCTAGGACAGGGTTCTCCAAACTATGGCCCACAGGCCACATCCAGCCTGCCTTGCCTTTTTTATCCAGCCCAGGCAGAGGAAGAGGAGGGAAGAGGGACCCAAGCAATCCCCCATCCCTGCTGTCTTTGCAAAGACAACAGAGGTGGGGAATTGCTTGGGTCCCCTTTCCCTCCTCTTCCTATGCCTGGATGGAGATAGGAAAATAAGAGAAGCCTGACAGAAACAATTCCCCAGCCCCGCTGGATGGGGGATCTCTTGGGTCCCCCTTCCGTCCTTCAGCCCTTGAAACTGTGCAAAATGTATGATGCAGCCCTCACACTGAAAAATTTGGAGACCCCTGCCCTAGGGCAACAGGATGAAGCCTCTTAAAGGAGAGAAAAGAGAATGGAAAGGAAAGAGGAAAACAAGCAATTTGAAGGAAAATGGCATTTTACCATGGACAAGACTAAATCTCTCACTTTAAAAGCCAAAAAAGAACAATTTAGAAAACTCTGCTCTCTATTTGTTAATGTGAAAATTGCTCCCGGTTTAGTAGATGTTTTCTACATTGGCCCAAATGATCATACAAGCTAAACTCATGCATTGCTATCAAATCCCACTCCAGGTTCTTTCCTCTGATGCTGGCAAAACATCAGTGAAAAAAAATTATCCTTGTTATTTCCTTCACATTTATATCCTACCTTTTGTCCAACAAACTGAAAATGATGTACATGGCTGTTGTCTTCTTTTCTTTATCCTCACAACAACCCTATGAGGTATGTCAGGATGAGCAAGAGAAAGAGTTACTCACTCCTCCAAAATCGGGCTAATGATTTTCACCGTTCGGGGAGACGAACTTGTCTAGCCTGTGTCCTGATTGAGCACTCTGCTGGTATGACAGCAACAATACTTAGAAATTGAAGGTTTCAGGAAAACAGCTGTGTAACTAGCAATTAATTCCAAGAGAGCTATTTGAGATGGTGTTTGGGAGAGTT